ACATAGGGATACCAACTCTTTCCCCTTATCTACTTGAACATGCAAAGGTAACCACACCCTTAGAAGATTCTGGACAACCTCAAAACTTCAAATGCTGATATGTACAAACTTACATGGTTAAAAACAAACAAATAAACAAAAACTATAAAAACTTTAATAAAAAGCAGTGTTTCAGGTTTACCTGGAGTAGGTTTAAGGGCCTGAGACTTGAAGTATTTTTTAAACCAAATGGAACACCTATTAAATAAAACTCATGGTTAAAACAGGGCATTAAAACTTTATTATACTTGAAAGTATTTTATACTTTAGTATATAAAAATATAATACTTTAAGTACTTCCTGCACAGATGTGCTTATTTTCTATACTTTAAAAATTTCTTATAAGCAAAAACCCCCCTATTTTCATCAATACCAAAGATGTGAGCACCAGATGTACACTATAATCTGTATTTCAGAAACTGAGACTTCTTTATAACTATTTTGACTGTTGGTTGGAAAAGTAATCTAGCAGTAATGCAAACACCATAAATATAATAAAACTACCACTGTTGTGCAAATGCATTTCAGGGACTGGCATCTATTTATATTCCTCAGTGCTAAACAACATATGATAATAACCCTATCTCTGAGAAGCAGTGTGCCCTGTGCCATTTTTTAAAGTACAAATGCTAATATTAATAATGCTAAAGAACGCTGCTGAATTTTGTGTGTAAGGATCAAGCTGAAAGTGAGGAAACGATGCTCTGTTAATTCTGAACTTATTCCCCAAAATCTGTGACACAACATGGAGCACATCATAAAGCAGGGGTTGGCAAATTCTTCCAGTAGGCTTTATGGGCCACACAGAGACTCTCATATACTCTTTCTCTTGTCTTTTTTAAAAAAAACAAACTTTAAAAAATGTAAAACTATTCTTAGCTTAGATGTGGGTTATAGTTTGCTGATTGCAGTCTCAAAGTATGAATTGTATATATTTTCCTCACTAAATATACCAATTCAAACACTAGTTAAAAATGTATATAGTCTTCTAAGCAGATAATTGTACTAAAAAAGATACAGGGCAAATAATGCACAGATGACAGTATGAAAGTCTTGTATAAGAAATGGAAAATGCATAATCAGATAAAAATGTGACAATACTGATATTCCCTCCAGGATTCTCATGGGAAAAAAAAAAGACATAACTCCTTTTAAAGGTGGATGACATCTGTATAATGCTTTATATCTTTCTAAAGGCACTTTCATATCACTTCATTTATTTCTCATAAGTACCAAATGAATTTAGAAATTTTCACTCCCATTTTAGAACAGATGAAACTCAGGCTAAGGTGGAAAAATTAAGTGACTGCTTTCAGACCCCCCAGTTAGCATTTGGAGCCACAAGTAACTGGTAGAATTATATGTAAATATAAAATCCTAAATTCAACACTGATTCCATTTCCAGGGCTTCTGTCACTAGAGCATATTTATACATATTAAAATAAGAATATGAGTTAGAATTAGAAAATCACAGCAATATATTAACATTTAAATTATATTCTTTAGGTTCTCTTTCTCTTAATTCAGGAAGTTTCAGATAAGTTTTTCTTACTATGCTGAATTCACTTTTCCTGTTAATTTTTTTCTCAGTAGTAAGAAATCGAACTGTTCTGAGATATAATACGTTCTCTTAAAGAGCATTAAAAAATGGCACAAGTCAGGACTTCCCTGGTGGCGCAGTGGTTAAGACTCTGGGCCTGGGTTCAATCCCTGGTCCGGGAACTAGATTTCACACGCATACTGCAACTAAGAGTTTGCATGCCAGAACTAAGGGGCCCGCCTGCTGCAACTAAGACCTGATGCAACCAAATAATTAGTAAATTTAAAAAAAAAAACAAGTTGTTAAAACTCTTTTTCAGTATATGTAATTATAACTACTACTGCAAGAAAACTACTACTAATGATGATGACAGCAAATATTTTTGAATGTTTATCACATCTCAGGCATAGTTTAAGCACCTCATCTGTATTTATTCATTCAATCCTCACAACTATGAGGTAACGTATATTATCCACATTTATGAAGAAAGTGAGGCACAAAGGTAACTCTGTCATGATTACACAGAGTAAGCTGCACAAGCAGGATTCACATCAGGCAGTCTGGCTCCAGAACAGAGGCTTTTAAATGCCATGCTGTGTTGCTTTTCTTGCTCATATATGTTTTCAAAATACATTTCTTTTACCTGGGACAGGACTACACTGACAATTATAAAAGTTACTTTTATAATAATCTTTGGAAGGTAAAGATAAAATTTGCAGAGACTTACAGGCTTACCAAGTTTCCTCACAGAGAAGTTCATATCTAGATGGGTTTTTAATTCAAATACCAGAACTCTTAAAGCTTTTGAAAGGAAATATTTCCGACATAATACTTCATAAAATAAGGATGTTAAATGTTTAAATAGTATCATTAAAATGGCATTTTTACATAAGCATGGACTTTAATTTTATTAGAGGTTATTATTTCTAATATTCTGACCTGCTTGAGAAGCTGCCTGCATTGCACTGGGCAATGCATTTGGTAGCAGACCTCCTGAGGGTAGAAGCCCACTCAAGTTTATTCCTGCAGGAGTTATGGCACCAGTGTTACAGCCCAGCATAGGGTTTGAACCACTCATCAAAGCTTGAGCTCCACTGCAGGAGAATAAGACAGAGCATTAAACTAGCACTATAAAAGGGAAAATCAGCCATATAATTCCTTGGATTAAAAAACAAACCACTAAACAAACACAGATATTTCTGTCTTAAATGTCAATTTGGAGGCTTAGTTTCATTTTTTTTCCTAGAAAGTGACAGCAAGGTGGGCAAAAATTAAGTACTGTATATTTATCAATTAAGTACTATATATTTATCAAGTACTGTATATTTATCAAGTACTATATATTTAAAATATAATTTGGAAGAGTAATGTCCTAATCAATGGATTAAAAGATGGTAAAACAGAGGATAAACAGGAAAATCTAAGCCACTGTCAATGTGTAGTAGTATCATTAGTGCATGTAATAGATTGATCACCTAAAATTAAAACATACTTGTTGAGATACCTTCTATCCACATAGAAACTATTTTCTTTCAATTTCAATAATATGCAATTTGTTCTTAATTTCACAAATAAGAATTTCTTTAGATTGCTTACAGTATCTTAAAATATCAGGGCATCAATGCAAACTTACCAAACAGAGCCCACTACATTGATGAAGTTAAGTCCAGCAGAGTTTGCCATGACTTGGGTGGCCGTGGTTCCTGTAGTTATAGATGTTACCATGGTGGAAAGAGGAATGGTCATTACAGGCATTGCCTGGCTCAGAGACCTTTGCTGCTGAGCAAACTGAGTTAACAAAGTGGGCTGAGGGGTGAAGCCTGAATCTTGGGGAGTAGGGGTAGCTGAAGGGGTAATAGGAGTTGAGCTCTGAGCATCAGGAGGGTGTGGGGTCGATGAAGGGGTTGGTGTAGGAGTAGATGGCTTAGGAGTTCCAGATCCTGCTCATTGAGAAAAATAAAAATTGCTAGTTTGTTATAAATGGCCAGTCCTTTTTAAAATAAGGTTAATGGAATCTTATTTAGCACTGACAATTTGTTCCAGTTTTTTTTTTAAAGCAGTTAACTGCAAGTGTTAATTTCTACACGATACATGAGTGTTGCTACACTCAATTACAATTAAGGATGCAGTATATCACCTACAAATCCCATCAGAGATGCTATTACAGTAACAGTAAAAATATACGTTTGTATTCTACCACAATACCCATTTAAAAGTTAGTTTCCTACATGCTACCTTTGGCCTATAAAGTTTAAAAGGACTTCAAATTAATTTTTGTTATTTACGATTTCACTAATTTAGGACTTCACTTAGAAATATTGCTTATTTTCTGTTAACAGTCTGAGATAAACTCTGAACATATTTAATAAATTACATATGATTAACAATCATATTTGGCACCTAGATATACATATTTAATTCCTAACACATCAAGTTTATCCTCAGAAATTTTACAAAACACAGTAATAAAGCAAATATTTGAGAGATAATACTGCATCTTTAACAGTAACTGTGTACTTCTGTTTAAATGTAGAATGTATAGAAAATCTGTTGTGAATGAAGTATGCACAGTTTATCAACTTTAAAAAAAAAAACAAAAACAAAAAACAAAAACCAAAAAAATAAAACCAAAAGCTCTTGAGGTGTTTTCTTTTTTAGCTTTCATGTCCTGCAGAAAGAAAGGAAAGAAATGTGAATGTCCAGAAGCTGTCACTCAACCCTTACTTAAAGTAACAACTGTGTGCAGTAGATTAACATAATCCATACCCACAACATAAGAAGTGTGAATAAGACTTTCAGGAAATTTATAAATTTTTCTTTGTGCAAAACAAGAAGGCAGAAAAATTACACCTTTTGAGCTATCAAGATGAAGATGTTTACATCTAATGCAAAGACCACCCTGTCACTGTGCAGTGTACTAAAACTTTCAGCACACATTAGTTATTTATTAAAAAATCTAAAAAACTGGAATGCTTTTTTGCAAGTTGGTACCTAAATATCTCAGATATTTACTAATTTGAAGAAATTCTCCCAAACTAACGCTAGAATTCTTGAATAACTCTTCTTGATGTTAAAAAAAAAAAGTATTCAGTAGTAAAAATTACATTTTAATTTCTTCAGATGCTTTATGATCATCCCACATTTTACTAACTGATAACAATTTGTAAGAGTGTAAGAGTGTTATTGAAAAATCTGCTTTCAGTTTACTGTATCACCACCTTGGAACTAGTTGGCTTCTTACATTTACAAAGATAAGACTGCAGCAATAACTCTTATGACTTTTTTTCCATATCAGCTGCATAGTTTACATAAAATGTAAAATGCCCAAGGGTACACTGGAATAAAAAATAATTTGGACTCATCGCCACATTTAACTACCACATTTTTTCAGGAGATGTGTAGGTTGTAAGTCTATAAGAAAGGTATACATGAGGTGCATACATAAATACAGAAAAACAAATACAATTACAATAAACATGTAATACATACAGTCAACAAGAGATTGGCACGAAGCTTCTCAAAACTTATACATTTTGGGTAGACAGTACATTCAGATTTCACTATTTCACTGGTCAAAAAGAGCCATCTTAAGAAACACTTATGCAAAAGCTTACGAAGAGTTAATGAATTTAAGTTATGACTCACTTTGTGATGAACTGGCAGGTGACAGGGCAGCTGGAGAAAGCATGCTAACTTGATTGAGATCCATGGATGACTTCCGAGAAAGACTTGGTGGCTTAGAAGCAGGAGGAGGTGTTGGAGATTTAAGAAAGCTGCTGACCTGCTGTGGTGTAAAATAGTTACCTAGAAGAAAAATACACACGTTGTTTCCTAGATTTACAATTTAAAATTCTGAGTAAATCAAAATATGAGTAAATGGATTATGATCATCTGTTGTTTCTTACTCTAGATTACAAAAAACTAAGGAATGTAATACCTGAGGAACTATTTCCTGAGCTTGAGGGAAGTTTGATGGGTGGAGGTCGATGTTTTACTCCCTTCCCCAATACTGAAGACTGAACGGACAGGGCCTCAGGCTGCTAAGACAGTGACATTAAGCATACTCATTAAAATTAAGGTCAAATCAGAAATTCACAAATTAGTAACACTATTATAACTCCTGGATGAAAACACGGTTTAAAAAACTGCAATGTACTTTTAATGTTTATAGATTGGGTATTACAGGTGTTTCAAAAAAATGTAATTCCACATAAGGAGATCCATGAGATAACTTACAGTATACACAGGATGAAGGAAAGATTTCTGAGTAATAAGGCAGGGAGAAAGTTTGAGGGAGAAGAGCAGAGTAAGATGACAGCAAAGCTTCACCCTTAAATCGTCTCCAGAAAAATAGTAACTGTTGACACCAGGTGGGTGATCCGTATACACAGATGTTCATTACACTTTTTGCTCTACCTCTATGTACATTTGAAAGTTTCCATCATAAAAAGTTAATAAAAAGAAATCAAAAGTAAAAACAAAACTAAACAATACCCCTATCCCTCATAAAACAGTCCTTAACATTTCTCAGATTCCTTGACAACAATTAGGCAGAAAAAAGTAACAGTACAAAAAAAGCTAAGCAAACACACTTCTGTTTCCTTCCCTGGAGAAGGCTGACTCAAGCTCGCTGAGCCACTGGAGCTATGCGACATCTTCACTGGACACTTGGCTTCGTTTTGGACCAGTTCCTGGTACTGACTGACTACTCTGAAATATTAGGGGGAGAACAGGTAATGATTAGCTAACTATTTTAAACATAAATTTACTACATAGGAAATGAATAGTAACTGTTAATGAAACAAGTTCTATCAAAAGTAACACAAAAATTAAAATTAGACAATTTATCTTTGATAAAAGCATATTCTTCTAATATTTTCAATGACAAGCTAATGCTGAAAACATTTTGCTAATTAACAATCTAAAGACACTTGTGGTATCTTGTCTCTAATACAGAAATTACAGGGATTATTTCACCAATAAGTAGCCAAAAGAACTACCCATTGACTCTCACTTATATTCTGATTAAACTGTTACCTAGAAATCATTTTCCTTAGCTACTGTAGATATATCTAAGTTCTCTTATTTAAAATAAAGCTACATTTTAAACATTATCCTTTTAGTTGTTATTTTCCTAATTCTATTTAAAAATCCTAGTAATACCTAGGCATAATTAAAATCAAAGCTTTGACTTCGAATGGAGTAGTCTCTACCCTACAAGAATCCATCCAGATCACAAATAAAGATGCAAATATTTTTACCTCTCAGCATCAGTCTTTGATCCAATAATGAACCTAAATTGTTTTTAAAAAAAGAAGAGAAAAGTATTAGATAGACTTGTTTTAAGGAGCCCTGAGATTACTTTTGAAGACTTCCATATTTTAATGACAGTAATTTTATGAACTGAATTAAAATCTACCAAGATATCATGAAAACAAAAATTTTAAAATACATTAAAAATAGGAAGCAATGACCAAGTTCTGCATGCATTACAAAATAATTCTGTGAATAAGCTGGCTGATTTACTTTAAAGGAGATTTACTTTGGCAGAAAACCTGTTTCAATACAAAATCTGGGCTGAAAGTTACCAAGTGCTATACACCCTTACAAGTGTCTGTCCTACAGAAATATTCACTGAACTACTGTGTACAAGGCCTTTGGCCTTCCTCTCACTTTAACCTTTGATTTTGGAAGACATTATTAATGTCTATATAGCAGGCCCTTAGAATATATTTTAGACAAGGAAGATGGTTTATCGCCAATTTAAATAAAAAGTCTTTATCAAGTCTTAAAAGAGTTTGACATTTATATGATTTCTTAACGTATCAATAGTGAGTTTGTTTATTTTTTAATTACCAATTTGAATGATCATCTGTGGAGAAGCTGAAATATAAAATGTAAAAAAAAAAAGAAAAAACTTGGTTAATGCAGCTCAAACTTTGACTTCATAGCTATAAAATCAAGTAATTTATGAATATGGGAGAAGGACTAGAAGGCAATAAACCATATGCAGCATTTCTGCAGCAACGTCCTGATGTAAAAGGCAAAAAATTCAATTCTCTTGTCAAGCAAATCTAATCAGTTGGCTTTTTGAACAATTTTTTTTTTTTTAATGAGAGAACGTATGCCCTTTAAAGGGAAGACTATAAAAGACAGCTAATCGAAATATCTGATTTTTCTACTTAGTATACAAAAATAAAAACTGCTAATGTGAAAAAATAAGCTGAGGATTGATTCCCTGACTGCTGTTTCCTCCCACTGACTTTTACTTAGGTATTGGTGAGGTTACTCTTTAAAATCCATTTTTCTGCCATAGTTTCAATTAGTATTTTGTAAGGATTTAACATAGAGCTGGCCCCTGCTTTTTTCTGCTGAGGTTCTCTTTATTTTTCCTTCTTTTCAAAACAGCATCAACTTGATTAAAAAGCAGAACTAATAATAAAACTAACAAGGAAAACAAAACTAAATACTGGTACCTTGTAGTAAATACATGTAGCCCGTAAGTTTAGGAATATCAACTTCAGTTGGCTCTCTATATCTGCGGATTCTGCATCCCCAGATTCAACCACCATGGAATGAAAATACTTGGGGGAAAAATATTCCAGAAAAGTCCCAAAAAGCAAACCTTGAATTTGCCACGGGCTGGCAACTATTTATGTAACATTTAAATTGTATTTATTACTTATTTACATAGCATTTACACTGTATTAGGTATTGTAAGTAACCCAGATAAAGTACATGGGAGGGATGTACAGAGGTTGCAAATACTACACCATTTTGATATAAGACTTGAGCATCTGCAGTTTTTGGTATCCAAGGGGGTCCTGGAACCAATCTCCTGTGGATACCAAGGGACAACTATATATGTATTTCTAGAGCCAGTAACTACATTAAGCACTGAGTCTGTGTCCTTACAGGCAGTGCTGAAATATCAAGCATTTTAAACAGCTTTTACATTTAATTTACAATAAACTTGCTTCCCATTTAAACAAATTATTGCCCGGAAGCACTTCATGCTCACAGAGGTAAAAGTCCTAAGTGGCAACACATAAATATACCAAGAGGGATATGACGGGCATATCTTTCAAAGCAAATATAAGAATAATTTACAGCACAGGTTTTTTTGTTTTTGTTTTTTAAAGAAATTATTATTTTAAAGAACTCTTGGACAGCAAGGTAACTACAATTTAAGTTTACTTAGGTCTGCTGCCAAAACTAACTGGAGTATTTAACTAACAAAACAGGGAAATTTTTATTCATTAATAGTTCATCAGTAGTTGCTAAATACATTCTGATGGCTTATTTTGTCAACTGCCTGTATTTAACAGAACTCACTGGGACGGAGACATCTGACTGTCACTCTCTTCATCTTCTTTACATGGCTGTATTTTACCATAGTAAAGTGGATCACCAAGTGACTGCAAAATGGTCAGCTTTGTTTTCTGATATGGATTACCAGCTTCACATTCAAATATATAGTCATCTTTTACATCCTGAAAAAGACCGAGCATCCCAAATAAGTACCTTCTCCAGTAAATAGTCAGGATTAACACAAATCAGGAGTAAATGACACACTAACTTACATCTTGCAATAAAAAGACACATGGAACATAGTCCTTAGACCTATTTAAGAGAAAAAAGCCTAAGGGAAAGAAGCCCGGGATTCTTTTTTCAACATGGTACTCTGGGAACAAGAGTTTCAATGGGATATTTAGTTAACAAAGCCCTAGTGAAATGTCAGAATTTCATATACTGAACATATGAATGCAAATATTAAATATTGAAAGGATAAAACTTTCAAAAGCAAACCTGTTTCTATTTGTCATTAGTCTTTTTGCTATTGCACATACCAAGTGTCTCTTATGGGACTTCCCTGGTGGTCCTGTGGTATAGAATCCGCATTCCAATGCAGGGAATGCGGGTTTGATCCCTGGTTGGGGAACTAAGATCCTACATGTCATGGGGCAACTAAGCCTGTGTGCCACAACTACTGAGCCTACATGCTGCAAACTACAGAACCCACGCACCATAACTAGAGCGAGAAAATCCGCAACTAGAGAGAAGCCCGTGTGCTGCAACGAAAGATCCTTCATGCCACAACAAAGATCCCGCGTGTTGCCAACTAAGACCCGACACAGCCAAAAAGAAATTAAAAAAAAAAACCTCTCATTTCACTCCTAGATTCATAATTAATTATGCCACATAATTAAATATGCCTTTAAGAAGTCACTGCAATTAGAGAAACATACACAAAACATTTCTCTTTAAAGATATCCTTAGAATAACTTACTAATTATTAATTTGAAACAGAAAACAAATCAGAACTATCAATAGTGGACCAAAACAAAAGTAAAAATGCAGTTATGCATTAAAATTGTCCTTAGAATGGAAACCGTATTTTATGAAAAACAAAGCTAAATCGTTGTTCCTTTTTTTAATTCACTGAACTCCAAGGAAGTTCTCAAAAAAAACAAAAGATGATACCAAAATAAAGGCTACTGTACTTTATATGTCTAATAAATTCAGATCCCAGATTAGAAACAGCATCATTAGAAATGGAGACTGCAATGGTTACTTACATGGGCTGGCCAGACTGTTGGTTGAGAGTCATCAGATTTGATAGATTTTTCCACTTTGGCATATTTTTCCACCTAAGCAATCAAATCAAGAGACATCAGATATAATGAAATCAGTATTATGACCAAAGAGAAAAACCTAAGTAACTTAATACAATACACTGAAATGGGGCAGGACCCTTCCCCAACCCAACCCCCGCCCCGTCCCCCTGCTTTTGTCTGTGGAAAAACTTTAGCCAAAGAATAAGTTTAATCAGAGAAGTGAGAAAATGCAGAAACAAAGGAAAACAGTCAAGGAGACCAAATAATAATAGTTTAGTCATGGAGCAAAGTCAAGGCCCTTTAGTTCCTCCTCAGGGGCTACAGATAATACTATGAGCCCTATCCTGTGAGCTGTCTTGTAGATACTGTAACCCCACCAGGTGGAAGGAGTCAACTACATGATGACCAGGCTGTAGCCATGACATAAGCTGCCACGATTCCGAGAACTAGCCTCAAAGAAATGGGAACAAACTGACCCTAGAAGTGAAGATTAACTGTCCCTAAAACAATTGAGATGATGCTGGTCAGACCACTGATGACCAATTTCAAGATGACTGTCAGAGCTGATTGTACTGCTTCTGCATGTAGCCCCCTCCCTCTGTGTATAGAAGCTCTTGCTCCCTGATTGTCAGGAGGGGTAGTCGGCCTTTGGACAGGCGTCTGCTCTCCCCCACAGCTGCTGGCATCTAAAATAAAGCAAACTTTCCTTTCCATCAACCTGGCCTCTTTACTGTCTTTTAAGTGGTGAGCAGCCGGACCCCACTTTTAGTTACTATACTTTTTAGCACAAAAATCCTTTAATCGCTAATAACACCAACTACTTATGCTTAAGTAGTTTAAAATTCTCCTGATATACATTCAATTAGAACAACTGGTTTTACAAATAAAATGAAATTAGAATCTCTTTTGCCATTAAGTAAATGTAATAAACACAGCTGCTGTTTTGGACAGTGCCTCTTCTTTATGCTCCATAAGGTGATATCACATTTGACTTTTAGGAAAACTGGGATGTCAGTGAGGTGATTAGGACAAGGATCTGGATCATTTCCTTTGGCTGGGTCTCTAATGGAACAGGAATTGTCATGTAACAGTGTGGAGAAAACTAGAAGAGACTAGGGAAGTTACATTAGAATTGGTAAAAATTTTTGTAAATCTTTCCCATTTTCTAGTCAGACTTGAACCATATATTCCATGTATCTCCTACCAGTCTGTGTGAACCAAAAGTTCTCATCTTCCTGGTAACCATGATTCTAAGAGTAACAGATTCACTTGGGCATCTGGTAAAAATTCAGATTCCTATATCCCTCCCCTGGAGACCTGATTCAGTAAACAGGTCTGAAGTGAGGGTTTAAGTGTGTATGTTTAATTGGTATCCTAGATGCTTCAACTGATCGAGTTAGGCTGAGAAACTTTTTATTAGGGCTTTGCTACTCAAGGCATGGTCTGTGGACTCCAGTGCCACTAACCTAGGAGCTTTTCAGTATTGCAGGATCTCAGGCCCTAGCCCAGACTTGTTGAACTGGAACCTGCATTTTAACAAGCAACCCATGTGATTCTTATATATGTTAAGGTTTCGGAAGCCCTGCTTTAGATATCCAGACTGCCCTCCGAAGCTAAATCCCACACTTTGGTATTTACACTAAATATCTCTTCTCAGGCCATGTTCCTTGAGGGGCGCGTAAGTTACTGAAAGATAATGTGGCTTACTCTCTTGAGCTGTATATACAGTGTACTTCTGATGCTTTTGACAATTTTTTAAAAATCAAAGGTAATAAGAATTGAACATGTGCTAGCCTGGGAAGGATGCACAGAGCAAACATCTGTTAAAATAACTGACCAATTCTAAAGAATTGAGTGATTAATAAAAACAGGAGAAATGGGGAAACAAAAGAAATATGGGACCACCCATCAAAAGATCTCTTTCCCGTCTTTGCTCATTTATAGTTCATGTGTTTCATGGGCCAGCAAAGAATGCCACCCAAGGTTTCTAATCTTGGCTACTGCTCCAATATTATTAAATTTTAAATTTAGCCAGCAAGAAAAGCATTATCAGGAAATTATGATGAAATATTATGAAAAAAATCAGTCATTTTATGCATATTATATAATATGTACCATCTTTTTACACATTTTGAAATACTTTGGTTATTATTCCTGCTCTAAACACAGACCTACATTAAGGAGTTACATTTTTAGACAAGTTAATGTGAAAATAGAATAGCTTCTGAAAATGAGCAGCTGACTTAAGAAGAGTCTTAGCACAAATAGAGAATGAACTAGTGGTTACCAGTGGGGAAAAGGAAGGGGGGAGGGGCAATATAGGGGTAATGGGGGAAAAAGGGTTATTATGGGATTATATAAAATCACATGTGTGAAACTTCTGAAAACTGTAAAGCACTACAGAATTTAAAGAATCTTTCATTCAATAAAATAAAAAAAGAAGTAGTAAGAGTCTTTGTTTTCCCAAAGTTTAAGCTACTATTAGTCAAACTTAGGAACCTTACATGAAAGGACGTGCAATTCATGCACTGACTTACATCCACTTCAGAAGGTATGGCCAAATTACAGGGACTCCGTTTCCACATATCCACACACTAAAAAATTAAAAAGAGTATAAATAAATACACTGAACACTGAAAATAAGGCAAGGCATTTGGTATAATAATAAGCTTCATTTAAAAATATATACTTACGTTTCCTGCTTTAGAAATTTTGAGGTCATAATGCTGACCTGCTTTTCTTTCCTTTCTTTTTTGTAAGAAATCAAGTAATTTTAGCTGAGGAGGAGGTGGACAATGAGACAGATCCTGCTGCCGATTCAGAGAGGACCTGGAATATCTCTTGAAACACCTGAAATATTAAGAGATTAGAACTACACAAAGCTAATACAAGAAACTCAGAATAAACATGGTTTAAATTAGTAGGTGTTAAATGTGTAATTAAATCACAAATATCTGTAGAAGACTGTCACTTGTCAAGGAATGTTCTAGGCACTGGTGAAATAAAAATGGACAAGACTAACAAAATTCCTGCTATCACGGAGCTGACAGTCCAGAAGCGAAGACATACATATACAAGTAAACAGGTCAGACCATTCCAGATAAGAATAAACAGTAGGAGAAAAACCAGGGTACTGTGGTGAATACATGATAGAGAGGGCAACATTAGGGAAGGGAAGGACTCTGAAGAAATGATGCGTGAGCTGAGACATGACAAGAAGGAACAAGCTGTGGAAAGATCAGGGAAGGAACAGTTGAAGCAGAGAGAGAGAATTTTAAAAGGTGCTGAGGCAGGAACAAAGTTGGCTTATTTTTAAAACAGAAAAATGAAGGGAGGACTAGAGCATCAGGGTCCACACAATGGTAGATGAGGTCAAAGAGCAAGGCAGGGGCCTTGCAGATGAATGATAATGCGTTTAGACTGAATGTGAAGTGCAATGGGATGGTTTTAGAGGAATTTAAGCAAGTGGTGGCATGGTCGGCTTTGAGGTTTTCAAAACATTACTGTGGTTTGCTTACATGGCGAACAGACCAGAAGCAAGCGAAGGTGAAGTAGGAAGACCAGTTAGGAAGGATTTTATTGCAGAAGTCAAGATGAAGATGATGGTGGCTTGGCTTAAGGCACTGGCAGTGGGCATGGAGAGATGTGGACAGAGATAGTAGATTTATAGGACTGCTAATGGATACTATATGGACTTATTTCACTATTTCCAAAGCTGCACCTTTTCCCCAGAATACATCATTTCCGTAGTAAAGCAGGGAATTTAGAAAATGGGTAGGTTATTTCAGCCCCTTCAAACTTGAAGAAGATCCAAAGTGGGCAACTCAAACAATTATGCAAAGATAACTTAATGATGAGCCTACTATAACTGCAGACCAAATTAATATGCATTCTTCACTGCAGTCTGAATTAATATGCATTCTTTTACTTTATTAACTAGAAGAGATAGCTAAAACATTCTAAGACAAATTACCATGTTATAAAAAGGCATTTAGTTAGAAACTGACTTCTCAAACTGTTATCATTTTCCCAGATCTCTAAAAGAAATTATAAATTGTATCTTTAAAGGTAATATTAACAAAAATTAAACTGGTATTAGAAAGTGATAAATTATTCTTTCTGCTCATACCTGTCTCTTAGAATTTCTATCTTTTTGGTGAACAAACTCTGAATTTATAGGTAGCCTGTTCTTCAAAAGAATGTAGAAAATGCATCACTTCAATATAAAGCAGAGTACATATTAAAAAAATCCTAATTCTTACACAATAAAAGTATTAAAAGACAATTAAAAATCCAATTTTAAAAAATCAGGGACTTCCCTGGTGGCACAGTGGTTAAGACTCCACACTCCCAATGCAGGGGGCCCGGGTGTGATCCCTGGTCAGGAAACTAGATCCCACATGCATGCTGCAACCAAGAGTTTGCATGCCACAACTAAGGAGCCCGCGTGTTGCAACTAAGCAGCTGGTGAGCCGCAACCAAGGAGCCGGCGAGCCACAACTAAGACCCAGGACAACCAAATAAATAAACAAATAAATATTAAAAAAAAAAATCAGAGCACATTTATTCTTTAAAGGGAAAAGATACCATAAATGGCAAAATTTAGAGCTACCGCTCTAGTTCACTTTTGGTTTATCCTTCCACAAAGGTAATTACCGTTTCATTGGGCGCGTGTTCATCTTTTGCTTGTTATAGAGCAGCCTGTTTGCAGTGCAGGTTACAGCTATAGAAGGATCAAGACACAGTGGTTCAGCTGTAGCTAGAATCAGTTGGCTCTCAAGCAAAAGTTTGTCTTCCTGAAATATGTAAGAGCATACATCAATACCAGATTTAAGATTTTCAAATCATACATATCACTTAATCTAGAGATATTCCTTGGAATATTTCTGCTAAGGAGTACAGTAAAATACAGTATTTCAAGTTCCAAACTAAATGTGTAAACTTTAGAAACTTGACAGCATAATGAAACTACTAATGAAAATTCAGTAATTGGTACAAAGTGGTCAAATTATAAGACTGCCTATCCATTAGCCAACAAATATTTACTAAGCACCTACAATGTGTAAGACACTGTTCTAGATGGGGGGGGGGGGAATAAATCATGAAGAAAACAGATAAAATCCTCTGTCCCCACAAAGCTTACAGGACCAAGATAGATGACAGCACTTTCACTAACTAACAGTACCATTCTATACTCATCTTAACTTCATTACAAGAATAAAAATGACTCCACTGATACTGTATAAACTATATACACCAATTCCAAAGTTTATACAGGCTTTTTTACCAGTATCATTTAACTTACTTTACTGAATCCTATTTTTTCTTTTTTTTTTTGCTTAAACTCTGAAATATTTTAATGGCTATTAACTAAATTTTTAAAAAATCAAATGAATCAATTACTGCTGAATAAAAATTTTTTCAAAAAAGAAACATTGCGGGCTTCCCTGGTGGCGCAGTGGTTGAGAGTATGCCTGCTGACGCAGGGGACACGGGCTCGTGCCCCGGTCCGGGAAGATCCCACATGCCGCGGAGCGGCTGGGCCCGTGAGCCCGTGCATCCAGAGCCTGTGCTCCACAACGGGAGAGGCCACAACAGTGAGAGGCCCGTGTACCGCAAAAAAGAAAAAAAGAAAAAAGAAACATTGCTTGTTTCACTGGTCTATTCAACTTATTATGGAAATTTTCAAAAATACACAAAACAGAAATATAATGACACCCACGTACCAACACCCAATTTTATTTAACAACCGCCCCTCTTTTTTTTGTTGTTTTTCTTTGTCTTCCTGGAGTAATTTTAAATACATTTTCTATGTTGTATTATTTCATCTAAAAAATCCTTCAGGATGCACTGCTAACTGATAAGGACCTCTAATATCCAGTCTAGATAAATTCCCATTATCTCAAAAGTGTATTCTTAGTTGGTTTGTTTGAATTTGAACTCAAACAAGGCCTACACATTGTATTCGGTTTTTATCTCTCAAACATTTTTTAAAAAAAATTCTGTAACGATCATCTCTTCCCCCATCTTTTTTTCTTTTCTCATGCAACTGATCTGTTGGGATTTGAGCAACTGCTTCCTCAGGGTATCATTTAACTGGGTCTGGCTGGTTGCTTCCTCATCCATGTCATTTAATGGTTTCTCTTACTCCATAAATTACTTTTAAACTGTTGGTTAGATGTAGAGGCTTGATTTAAATTCAGGTTCTATTTTTTAAACAAGAGCTCTTCAACAGTACTACTGTATACTTTCTCGTCCACCACGCCAAGGAGGCACACAAGGATTGACTGTCCCACTTTTACACCAGACAGTTTAGTCAGACTATAGGTTTTTCACATCTAAGAAATACAGCCATCTAGATTCATTAATTCATTAAGACTTCCAAGTTGATGACATTTTAAAAAGTCTATCATTTCTTTTACACTTGTTAGCTGAAATTTTTCTAAGGAATTTTCCTTGAAAAGGCAGAATAAACGCTTTGGTCTCTCCCATTATTTACCAATCTTCAGAGTAAGAAATCAATGCCCTAAGAACCTCCAATGATGACCAGTGAGTTTGTTTTTGAATATTCTTTTCATAGCTTTTAACCTTCTTGTAAACAAAAAGATTACAGCCCAAACTAAAACAGAACACTTGATAGTTACTGATGAACTGAATCTTAATTTATAATCATATTTCACAGCTAGAATAATTCTCATTATTGATATTTTCTTTACTTTAACTATACCTCTTTATAGTAACACAGAAATAAGTGAACACTCTTGTGAGTGGGCACCTCATATATACTGAGCCAGCACAGGAGGACTAACTGGTTATTCTCCCGATAAGAGATGTCTCCGGGTAAGAGATGTCCCCTAGGGCTACAACCAGTACGGAAGACAAAAAGACAAGACGAGCTAGGTCTGCTTTAGAATCCTAGATGACAGAAAATCAGCATCTATTTGTATCCACAACAAAACATTCTGTTTGAGAGAGGATACAAAACTATGTTTCACATTGGGTGAGGTCAGCCTCACCCTATTATACTATGCCCTGAAAGCAACTGGGACTGAACTGTTTTAGTTCCTTGAAGGATTACTGCATCTTTGTAGAGACCCTTAACTTCTAAAGCTCATAAATCAATCCCAAACTTTACTCATAAATAGAATTATGAGCAGAAAATATCTTTTGCTTAACTTAGTAAATATTGTTTCATACTATATATTACTGTTTGGGATTAAAAAAAAGAACTAACCTGGGTCCATTTATGGTTATCACTTGTTATCGAATGTACATCACAGATTAAAGTCTAGAAGAAATAAAAGTTAAAAAAACACATTAATGTATAGGCATACAAACATATGAAGACATTTAATAAGTAAAACTCCAAATAAAATCTGAAATAATACTTCTTAAACATTCCTTACCTGCATTGTTGGACGTAAGAGAATGTGCCTACTTTGGTAACCAGGAGATTTCATGTTACTGGACTGCCTGTAGTCACGTATTTCTGCTATGACACATCCACAGTGAAAAATATTAACCTGTTTTGAGTAAAAATATATTAAGTAGATGTCATTTTTCAGAAGCCTAAATAAGTGGGTTTATATTGAATGTTTCAGGTTCTTCACATTCTTATGTAATGCTTCTGACCACTCACACACTCTTAAATGGAATTCCTTGGTGGATTTACCACCATATAAACCCTTTAAAAGCAACTGTTTATGTTCATCATGACTCAAGAAGCAGTTTAACACTGTTTAACTGTTTGCTAGTAATAGAATGACATCTGGCATTTGTATACTGTTAATGTTACAGATCACTGGTATCGCCGTTTGTTTGTTTTTTTTTGGCCATGCCATGAGGCTTGCGGGATCTTAGTTCCCTGACCAGAGATCGAACCCGCATCCCCTGCACTGGGAGTATGGAGTCTCAACCACTGGATCGCCAGGACGGGAAGTCCCTGCTTTTCTTCTTGACACTCATTGGCTCACTGTTGTACTCTGTTAACCGTGTCATTATTATAAATTGTCAATAACCATGCCAGAGTTTCAGCTTATAGATACAACTGCTATATTTGCTCTGCTAAAATTTCCAGAAGATAGGCTTTACTAATAAGAGGAAGAAAGCTAACATTAATTCAAATAATAATCTCTGTTAAAGATACTGTTTTTTTATCCTTTTTCTAAGTCCAAAGGTAAGAATCTGTCACTCAACTCTTGCTAATTATCACTTGCCACAGTCGCTTATGGTATTGTGTGTTTTCACCATTCAGAACTTTTAGTGGGTACTGTGACCTCCATGTTGTCATTATAATGCTCATGCTTTTTAACCAACCTTTACTGAGCCACTACAATGTGAACTGTGTGTCATGCACTAACCAAGAAGCTTCATAGATAAAGTGGTGAGATACTTGCTCAGTGTGGTAAGACAAGCAATAAACATGTAAACAAATAAACAAGGTAACTTGAGACAGTGAATGCTACAGAGGAAATAAAATAGGGAGGGGCTTAATTTAGACTGTATGCTCAGACAGAACTCTCTGAGGGAGTAATTTTCAGCTGAGACCTGAATCACAATAAAGGGCCAGACATCTGGGACAGATGAGAAGAGCAGACAGAAGAACAGATGAATAAGATAGCTATAAGCTTGGTGTGTTTTAATATGGAAAGAAGTCCCGATGGCTGGAGTGTAGTGAGTGGGGATGAGAACCAGGAGGTGAAGACAAACAGAAAGGCAGGGGTTTTGTACACTGAGGGGACACTGGAGAACTTCAGACAGGGAACTGTGTTGTTGTTGTTTTCTGTTTTTGTTTTGTAAGCTTAATCTGGTTGTCTGTGGAAAACTGATTTCTAGGGTTCTAGAATGAAAACAGGAAGTTCAGGAAGGTAACTATAGAAGGTCATGACCATATATTTTGAAGGTACAGCTGACATTTGCTGGTGGACTGAATGTGAAAGGTGAGAGTATAGTTTATCTGTCACATTGGAAAGACTGGTAATAGAACTGGTTTGGGAGGTAAAAATAAAAAGCTCTGTTTTGTCATGGTAAGTCTGAAGAACCTAATCTATATCCCAGTAAATATGTATACTTGGAGCTTGGTGGGATGGTCATTGTGATAGAGATAAGCAAGGGATTAACTGTCATTTTTTTAAACTCATTAAGCTGTTTGAGATCATCCAGGGAGAGGGTGTTACTAAAGAACAGAATCCCTAGGACTGAACCCTGAACATATTTATGACAGCAAAAAAGACTGAAAGACTAGAGGGAAGAGGAAAAACCAGGAAGGTGATGTCTCAGAAGCCAAAAGAAGGGGTTTCAAGGAGGAAGTAGTTATTTACACTGAACTTTGCTAAGAGACCAATTAAGGTGAGAACAGGAAAGGATTTTCTTAGCAGTTGAGAGATGGTACAATATGCTTATATTCTTTATCTACTAGAGAGAGGAAAATAGATAATAGAAGAGAGGAAGGTTAAAGTTGCAAGACCAGGAGAAGGATCCAGAATATAAAGTGGAGAAGATGCCTTAGGAACAGCTTATTTCATCCATTTTAACAGGAAGGCAGGCAGAAAGTGTGGACAGAGATGTAGGGATGCTGGGAGGAAATGGGAGTTCTCATCTGATGGCTTCTTTTTCCTCAGTAAACTACCATAGTATGGCTGGAAAGCCAAGAAAGTAAGCAGTTTCTTCCATAATTTCTTGATTGTAGCTATAGGGAGATTTCCAGTGGATGAGTTAATTGTTATAGCAATTTTAGAAGAATCAGCTAAATCTAAACATTTCAGTAGAGCCTAAAGGATAAATATCCCATAATAAACCAATTTTCATATAGCTATGTACAATGTCTCATTTCATGTTCCATGCACTAGTGAGAATACAACTAAATACCTTTCATCACCAAACAACATATATCTAGCAAATCTAAGGACACTTTAAAGAGAAAGATTTTGTACCTGAGATTTTTCTAGGAGATCAACCAAAATAGGAGGTAATTCTTCTGCATCCAAGTATTCAAGTAATTCCCCTTCTTCATAAGGCAGTCGAATGGTCTCAGAATCTTAATTTTAAAACATAAAATTTCAGAAAGTGATCAGCCTCACCAAAAAGCCTAGGTAATAATTTAAGTAACTTCTGATAAAAAACAAAGAGAATAAAGCCAAAAGCTCTCCTAAAGTCCTTCTTTATTTAAGCCTTAAAAATAAATCACCTTATATATTGCTAAAAACCTTGATAAACTGTATACAGTTTTAGAGCAGAAAGGAGGAAACACCTAACATACTATGGAAAAACATCTGGCACAACAATCGCAGTACAAATCACAGCCAGCAGTATAGTAATCAGAATATGATAAAATTCCAACATCTGTTAACTAAAAAGTTCCTTGAAGATTGCTTAATCTAATCTGGAAGTCAGAGGGATAATCTGGTATCACTTCTGAAAAATGACTACTTATAGACCAAAATTCTCTTGGTGTTATACAATTAACAACCAACACAAGAAAAAATTCTTAACTAGGTAAGTTCCTTGTAGAACTCAGTTTCATCACTGTATCAAAATTTAAATGCCTCTTTAGTGAAATCTAAGAGTATTTATATTTTAAAACTCTATTTTCATATTCACATTAATAGGAATAAAATGTTGAAAACTATTCAAAAGGCAGTGAATCTGCTTAACTTTGAAAGCTTCAGACTCAAAGTATGTTCAAAGCACAGAAGAAAAACATACCTTAAAACACGTGAGGCTATCTTAAATAAATAAATACCAACAGAACGAAAGGAAACTTTGACAAGTATTTTAAAATTATGTCTTTTATAATTTAACTTCAAAGACCTCAGTCAGAATACTTCTCAAATTCCAGAAGGCTAATCGCACTAGAGGTAACTTCTAATATTCTAACAAAACATCATAAAGAGAACAATTTGGAATAAAAGTCTTCTTTTATCAAGTCATCACTGATCTGAAGGACACGTCATTTAGCAGGCTAAGAAACTACTTCTAAAAGACAGCACATCCCACCTAGCAGAGGGATTTTCGTGGCTGCTGCCCTCCGGAAGTTCTTACCTGATCCATTTTTTCCCCTGAGCATCAGAGAATATCCCTCATTTCCTGGGTATAGGTTGACCACTAAACATGACAATGTCTCCTGCATAACAAGCTTCTCTAACAAGTTCACATTTCTTCTTAATTTCTGCTTTAAAAAGAGGCAGAGCTCATGAAAATAATCCAGCATAACAAAGAATGCAATCATTTAAGAAAAATCAGACCTGAGTTAATCTTTTTTTTTTTTTTTTTTTTTTTTTTTTTTTGCGGTACACGGGCCTCTCACTGTTGTGGCCTCTCCTGCTGCGGTGCATAGGCTCCGGACGTGGAGGCCCAGCGGCCATGGCTCATGGGCCCAGCCACTCTGTGGCATGTGGGATCTTCCCGGGCCAGGACACGAACCTGTGTCCCCTGCATTGGCAGGCGGACTCACAACCACTGTGCCACCAGGGAAGCCCCTGAGTTAATCTTTGATACTCCTTCCACATCTCTGTAAACTTAATTTTGACCTATTACTATGTTTTAGGCAAATGAATTAATATTACAAAGAAAAACTAGTGATCTATATATAAAACAATAAACACACTTAAATATGAAATATGTACCTGAGTACACAAGTAGCAAATATTAAAAATATTTAAAAAGGAAAACCATTAATGTAAATATTTTTTAGAAAGATGCTATAATGTATAATTAGTTTCTATTAAGTATAAATCTACATAAATAATTTGGGGCATTTTCTTTGGTTGTACTGTTACAGAGCACATTTCTTAAATATTTTATGGCCTAAATTAGATCCAAACAAGTTCAACAGCTCTAATCAGCTGAAATGTTAAACCCCAAAATATCTAACTGGTTAAAAGGACGTAAGTAATTTAAGTAATTTTCTATAAATTCAATTTAACAGCTCCTTAGAAACCACTTTGCTAAGAAAAATAAAAAACTACCAGGGAACCTAATACATATATATCAAAATCTATTATTTTAGAAATGTATATGATTTAAAATGAAACCCACTTATAGATATAATAAATCCTTTCATCAAATCTTATTTGTGAAAGATATGTCAATAGAATACTTTTCATGATATCAAAAAACAAATCCATTGAGTATCATATTTAACATGCATATATATATATATATATAGTCATATACAGAAAGAAATTATAAATTCTTGATCTATAGTCACCATAGAATCAAAAAACTGCATTTTGAAAATAAATTTTTAAAAAGCAAAGCAAAGCAAAGCAAAGCAAAGCAACTTTTAACCACATTGATGGGAAGTCAGAAAATGTCTTTCTTAAAGGACCAGACAGTACTTTAGTCTTGTGGGCCATATGGTTTGTGTTGCAACTACTCAACTCTGCTATTTACCTCAAAATCAGCCACATACAAGACATAAATCAAGGGGTGCTGCTGTATTCCAATAAAAGGTCATTTACAGAAACATGTTGTGGGCCAGATCTGGCTGGTGGATAATGGCTGTCAACCCCAATTTAGCATCTTCATTTATGTATCTCTCCTTAGTTCTGTCTCTGAGGCAATGGATATGCTCATTATACTGACTGTGGTGACAGTTTATGGGTGTATACTGTGAAAATTAATAAAAGGAAACCTCAACTAAAACTGGAGTGGGGAAGCACTGCAGAGGGAGCTCTTCTGCCCCACCACTCATCATTAATTACCCCAAACAGGAAGACATCAGTTACTGATCCCACCAGGAAGAGAACTACCTTGAATTCCCAAACAGGAAATGCAACTCCATTACTTTCCCAACTAGGGGAAGGGAGACTTTCTTCCTCCCAGCAACAAGCTCAGTGAATGGGAAAGGACTGCAGCCCAGCCAATGGAAAACACCTGTAGCTCAGCCAACAAAAAGCCGTCATTTCTGGCACTTTTACTTTCCTCCAATGAACTCTCATTTTTTCCTTGCTGATGATTTTCTTTCCTTGTCCTGCCCTCCTTACAATAAAAGCCTTCCATGTTGTGCAACTCCTCAGAGTATCTCTGCCAGATGAGATGCTGCCCAATTCATGAATCGTTTAATAAAGCCAATTAGATCTTCAAATTTATTCAAATTGCTTTTTTAATACATGTCAAAACTTATAAAATGTATACTTCAAACATGCTCAACTTATTGTATGTCAACTATACCTCAACAGAATTTATGGAAACCATACCACAAGATTTACTCATGGTTTCACAATCATTCTTCTCCTAAAGATTTTAAAGGTTACATACTACTGGAATTCCACTAATTTTTTGCCTAAGAGGTATTCATTTTTAAAGGCAGACAACAGAAGCTCAGTAGAGCCCTTTAAGGCCCTTACGACCTGAGGGTCCAAAAGATATCAAGAAATCAATTTCTATTACATTTCTACTGCCCATACTTTCATGCTAAATAAAAATGAATTAAGTTAACCTGGGCATAAACTAATTTTTCTGACCAAATTCACCTTTTATTATCACATCTAAATTTCCTACATATCCTGTAGTAGTTTTAACTTCCCAGTGCAACTCACCATGAAGAAATAGGTTAATTTTCTCCTGTCTTCAGTCTACAAATAACTTCTCAGGAAGAAAAAGATGCAAAAGATAATATATATGGTGGCTTTGCTTCTTCTAACTTCCCAATGAGATAGTCTGTTACTCAGCAAACATGGTTCCCCTCTGCTACCTAAGTAGGTGATCTCTGCCAGGTGCCAGATTAGCCAGAGCTCTGGTTTAGCTGCAGAACTGGCTAGTCTGGTTAGAAAAGATATTTGTTCACTAACAAAAATATAAATCATTCAAATCTAATTCCTTCAAATTTCCCTCTTCCACTACATTTAGTAAGTCGTAATAACATAAAAAATTTATACTTACCTTAACCTCAGGCTCTTTTTCGCATTCTTCAATATATAAATCATAAAGTTTTTGAAATATTGATTTTCTAAAATTTAATAAACAAAGGCAGTATACAAAGTAATGTTAATATAATAATCATAAAATAAACATTTTGAATTTTCCTGTAATTTTTCCTCCAATTTCCCAAAAACTGGGGGCAAAGTGGGGCTGGATATGGTAGCTAACACCAACCTAGAAATTTCTAATACAGCTGACCCTTGCACAACACAGGGGTTAATCCTCGTATCACTTAAGAGTTGGCCCTCTGTATCCATGGATCCTCTGCATCGACAGGTTCAACTAACCACTGACCATGAAGTACAGTAGTGTTTACTACTGAAAAGCATCTGCAAATAAGTGGACCTGCACAGTTCAAACCCACATTGTTCAAGGGTCAACTGTATATGCAAAGTACCCAGAACATTTCTAGCTCAGTGTCTAGGAAGAATGAAATAAATGATGGCTATCATCATATTTCTGTGAGTCTAACATATCAATTAATTAAGCATTCATACCTTCCACTAGATAGGTATTTCCTTTTAGGAGGTCTCTGTCGGGCACTTTCAATGACATACTAAAAAAGAGAAGTTTAAGAAAACAGCTTGTCTTTTGCATACTGCGTGAAGAACTGTATTAATAAATCGTGTAAGGCTAAAAAGGCTGTTCAGTCACTCAAGTCTCTGATGCATATTAAATCATACCTTTCAGGGAAACCTACTTAATTTCTAAATATATGTTACAAACAAGTGAAATTTAAACTGCACTAAAATTTAGCACAATATTTACTTACTATATTATAAGCAAAATCATGAGTTTCACCACTGTGATTTCACAGGTTAGCAATATTTTCAATGTTTTATGGTTGTTTAGAATATGCATAGCATACCCAATTACAAAGACTCTATGTATTTGAGCTATTTTCCCCTTTAATTGAGCAGTTAGAATATCTGTTAAGACAGGAAACGTAATTTTAGAAACTCTATGACCTTGTTCAAATGTTTATTCCACTGTGTTATTCAATTTCTATTCCACAGCATTATTATCTGAGCATTCTAAGTAACAGACGATCCAAACATCATCTGGTAGTTTTTATGTATTTACAGAAAAATCTGCATTCTCGTCCTAATATTAACGTACTCCTTTGACAGTCACATAAGAAAATCTCTTAAAACTGAGTTCTGTCAATTAAAGACAACACTATTTCAATATGTAACTTAGTCACGCCTCACCTCCGCACGATCCAAAGCTAGTTCTAAAGCTTGTTGCTGTAAAAAGTAAATAGTGTATTTGGTAATATTAGTTATTTTCACACAAACATAATTTAATATACATATAACATTTTCTAATTAAGTGTTTAAATGTGTTTTATTTTCTAAAACAGGTCTAACGTTTTTCTTTATTTCTCTCCTCCACCCACCCCATTGTATGCTCAAGATATAGCACAAAGAAAATATATGCAGTCTCAGGCACCTGATTATGACCACAAATTAGTTAAGAAATGCTACCATGATTTTCTCTGGCCGTGCTTGTGCAGCTGATACAGGGCTGAGGGCTGGATATGGTAACTACTACCATTTTATAAACATCAACATTTTAAGAGCACCATTCAGGAAAATATACTGGACATCAGGTATGCAATTAAAGTGAAGCAAAGATTAAAATCCCTTAAGCTGCTAGGAATCCTGAAAACCGAGGGGGTTGTTATGTTGGTACCTAATATCAACTTAGAAATTCCTAGTATTATGCAGAGAAACTATAATACAATGTTTCTAGGTCAGTGCCTAGCAAAAATAGAATGAAGGCTACCCTTAGCATGTTTTAATGAATTTAAGATACCATCAGTTATATGCCTGAATTATTATTTAACATTAAGAAAAACGTGCTGCCAATTATAACTGTAAGATGTCACTGATTGTAGACACATTATCACTTCAGTAATTAAAACGTAAAAGCAAATGCATCTTAGAAATGATGAAAATAGAGTAGTATTATTACATGTACAATTTGAGATCTACTAGTAGATCCCCATCCTTCATTGATTTCTTAGAGACACTTATTATAAGGCAAGAGGGAGAAATAAGAAGGTTAACTGTCTTCCTCATTTGTATAGCATTCTTCTGTAATGATACCCAAGAATAAAAATTACTAGATTTAAAAAAAGATTAAGTAAATACACCACCAATGATTTCTTTCTAGTTTTGTGGTTTGGGTATCACACAGAGTTACAGCATTTTTCATTCACAATGACAGTCATTTTTAATTTCACTGAGAGGCAAAGAACTTTCATTTTTTATTTACAAGAACCTACATTTTTGTTTTATTTTGCAGACTCCAATACTTCAATCTACTAAGTTGCATGGAATAAAAGCTCCTAGCACCCACCAAAATCCCAAGAGGGTAGGGAGAATAAATATTGCCAGACTTTGGAAATCATGAAAAGGTTGAAGAGACTCTGTCCTCCTAGTCCTAAGGACGGAGAATACATATGATACAAAAATAGTTGGCCTTTTTTCTTTTTATTTAATAGATCTTTATTGGAGTATAATTGCTTCACAATACTGTGTTAGTTTCTGTTGTACAGCAAAGTGAATCAGTCATATGCATACGTATGTCCCCATATCCCCTCCCCCTTGAGCCTCCCTTCCAACCTGCCTATCCGTCTTTAGGTCATCGCAAAGCACTGAGCTAATCTCCCTGTGCTATGCTGCTGCTTCCCACTAGCTATTTTACATTCAGTATGTATATAAGTCGATGCTACTCTCACTTCGCCCCAGCTTCCTTCTCCCCCC